TAAGTCCCCATCTCGACCTCTTGTGTCTTGGGGACTTAGGTGAGTAACCGTCTCTGTATTAGATACTATGCTAACTTGTGTCTTGGGGACTTAGTGTGTGACCTTGAGTCCATTAGGTGTCCATTGCGTCGCTGTCGACCTCGTGTCCAGTGACCTTGAGTCGAGCTCAGCTCCTCTTTCTTCGCGTGTACTCTTGCCTATAGTAAGTGCCGACGACGCTGCCTTTCCTACCGACTCTACCCGATTACTTGGACATTCCGGCTGTCTAAGTAGTTGGTAACCCCAACGGGCGTTCCTCTGCACGTCGCTCGTCACATTAGGTCGAGATCTCTGCTCGCGCCGCCGTACCTGCTCCGTACGCGCCTCGTGAGATAGTGATAGCCGTAGCTCCGCATAGACGCGGTCGCGAACGTCAACGCTAAGCCAGCGATACGTAACTCTCCGCTTTAGAGCCCAGATTCAACCTGTGGCTGTAAGGCCGGTCTTAACCGAACGGTCTTGCTGGGTACCTTAGGCGGCTGTTACCAACCAGCGTCTTTGATCCTGCTAAAGTTCTAAGGGGGGCCTCTGCATTGGGCAGTATCCGTATACCTGGGCAAGTCGCGACTAGTAACCGATCGGAGGCATTTCGTTGCCGAAAAGTGACAACCAATAGGCCGAGGAGGCTGAGGTAGACCGTCACCGTCGCACTGCATCTGAGCTCAAAGTCCTCTGTGAAAGGACGCGGCCTAGAGTCGCGCACACCGCCACCATAGCACCCACACACCGCCTTCGATCTACTCGTAGCAGTCCACGAGTCCGCTCCCATCGTCCTCTCCGTCCATCCGATAAACTCCGCACTCCACGTCGTTGGGACGCACCTCGTCGGACGGTCAAACGACCACTTCGGTTCCGACATCGCCTAGTCCGAGAAATCCTCCAGTGAATGGACGCATCCGTATCCTTTACTGTGTCCATCACCTTCGTCCAAATCCTTATCGTCATTGCCATCATACCGATATTGGTGGTTCTAGTACGCCTAGGAGACGCGGCAGTTGACATCATCCGTCGATTCAAAATTCATTACACACCAACAAGCGGATTCCAAATTCTCCCTCCATCTGACGACACAGGTGGCTGGGGCGATAACGGAGGCTGGGGTAACTAGTCACCACGTCTTCTACGGGACGAATCTCCGCCCGAGAACTACTAGAATCGTCGGATTCATCAGAAGAAGAAGCGGTTGATTGCACTAGACGTGTGCACGCCTGGGATACCGAGGACAAGGAAGTAGTCAACTGGGATAGGGAACAAAAGACTTGGTGTGACTGTGACGAACAACCGTGTCCAAACCGGTTTAACTCCATCACCGACGATTTAGATCGTTTTCAACCTATTCCACCGCACCTTTACCCGTTACCAGACTCTCGAGCGCCCTCACCATCACCACCAGCATCAGTAGTCATCACTCTAAGCCCTAGGCCTCAGACACCAATCGAAGTAACCCCACGTACACCCACACCACCGATCACCATGAGTAACCAAGGGACCGGTAACGCAGCGGCCAACCCGCCACCAGCAGCACCACAAACCTTCACTCTGCAAGATGTAGCCACCGTTCTAGCCCAAGCCCTTTCTCGCAGTCAGACAGTCACACAGATCAATAAGAGAAAGGATATCACCCAGAAGCCGTCTGCCTACGATGGGGACCGCAACACGGCACGTTCCTTCATGGCGGCCTTTGAAATATGGGCCAGAGCCCAGGAGGAAGCGATGAGCGACCCTCAACCAGATGGCTCCTGGTTACCAAGACCGGTAGAGTGGATCATCACGGCATTATCGTTCATGAAGGGACGAGCAGCTACATGGGCAGCCCCTTATCAGGAAGCCTACGCCAAGAAGGAACCCATCTTTGGCAACGATTGGGATACCTTCAAAACGGCTTTCCAAGAACGCTTCGTCACCTTGAATGCCAAAGCGGAAGCCCAGGACAGGATGAAGCACCTGACCCAAGGCAAGGGAACGGTCGCTGAGTATATCTCTGAGTTCAGAGAAATACAAGGTCAAACCGAGTACAGCAAGGAAGACCTCCTGTCACGCTTTTGGGATGGTCTGTCTGACAGCATGAAGGACGACCTTTCTAAGAGCTCGCTACCCATCGAGACGCTCGATAACTGCATGAACTCTGCCGCTACGCTCGATCGACGTATACGGCAGCGACAAGCCGAGAAGAGGGGGGTTCGCATCCAAGCCCCTTTTGCATCATCCACAGTCTCCCACACGCCAGCCCGTGATCCCATGGCCATGGACATTGATGCCACGCGAACCGTCCAGTCCTACATCGACTTCATGCGAGGGAAGTGTTATGGCTGCGGATCCAAGGACCACATCAAGCGGGATGGCAACCACGAGCGTGATGTATGCAATCACTGCCACAAGACGGGCCACCGATCCACTGTGTGCCGATCCAAGTACTTTGGTAGGCCTTCGACACCAGCACAGTTTGCGCCACCGGCCCGTGTTAGAGCTACGGACCAACCGGCAGCATCGACAAGCACGGCACCCCCTGCATCGCCTCATGCTGAGGGAGAAGTTAGCATGATGACTATCGCTGCGGCT